AAGGGGTGGGGCCAGGGCCCGTGGAGTGTCCTCTTTTTTTATTTTTTAAATATGGTAACCCTAGCATTATTGGGCGCCTGCTGGATTTAAAAGTACAGTCACCCACCTGGCAGTTGTATGACAGTCAATTCTTCAATGTGGTACAAGACAGCACATATGATTTGGGGCTCAGGTTGAGCCCAGAATGTGCTACCAGAGCAGGGCTAAACTTGATAGGAATGTTGTTGGGTTAGAGGCACAGTTCAGCAGTTTTGAAGTATTTAGTAAAAACAGCTTTTAAAGGGCCAGACTTTGAAATCCATTGGGCCAATCCTGCAGTGCATTTCCCGCTGTTGTGTGTACACTGTGTATATTCCTATCCAAGATAGATCCTGGCTCCTTCAATGCATACCAGAGGGATCAGGCTTTTTTTTTTTTTTTTTTTTTTTTAAAACACATTGTTAACTTTTTTTATAGCTTATTTCCACAAAGTTGTATTGAATTGAATTACAGATAGCTGAGCATGCAAATTGTAAATATAAATATTTGTAAAATGCCTGGGCACTGTGGTATCTAGATACTACCCCCCCCCCCCCAAATCAGCCCCCAGCAAGTAGCAAAGTCACAACTCTGACCTATGGAGACACCTCTGTAGGTACATTTCTGCACACACTTACCTGATCTGCAGTAGAAATCATGGAATTTGAATGTGCAAATTAGGTGCATGATTGTGCATGCAGTTTTCCTACTCGTCTGATTTGATAGGATTTTACACCCTTGTTGCTCAAGTGTAAATGACAATATAAGGTGCAAGACCATGCAGAACCAGGACCGATGTTCTATAATTTACCTGCAATGGGACAAACTCTCCCACCCCCACCCATTTTGTTAAGATGGGTAGAAAGAAAGCGAGGAACATTGGCCTGTTGTCTGGGGAATACAGGGATTCCAAGCATCTTCAGATGTTAATAGTAACCCTTGTACATTGGTGTTTCTCCCTGCAGATAAGCGGAATGGGGGACATTTCCAGCAGTGGCAGCTGTTAGACAGGATACTACAACAAATCGTTCTTCAGGATGAGAAAGGGGATGATCCAGATATAGCTCCACTGGACAACTTCAATGTCAAGAACATCATTAAGATGTAAATTGTGTTAATTATTCTTACTTAATTCTGTTATCCAGCACTTTAGTTGTAAAAAAAAAAAAAAAATACCAGGTCCCTGCACTGAGGAGCTTGCATCTAGGTTATATTTTATTGTAAGCTGTTAAATTTTCTAGTTAATTGCTTTCCAAACTATAGCTTAATCTGTTCCTTATTTTCCAGGGTATGTTTTACTTTCCTGTGCTCTTTGAGTTCTGTTAGCTATAGAGCTGGTGGAAAATCAAGGAAGAAAAGTCATGAAATGTTAACAAAATTGTTTGTTTTTTGTTTTTTTAAAGTGTTGATGAAAGTTTCATTGACATTTTCTTAAACTTGACCAGCTCTACTTAGATCTTCTTCGTCCATGGCTTTGGGTTAATTCAGGAAGATTTCAAATAACATAAAATAAATCAGCAGCCAAAATAGCATAAATAATTTTTACCTCTCCATAAAATATCTGCTCCCTCCCTCACCCACATGCGGTTTTGGCCAATGATTCTCCAGTTATTTCATTCTGTGAGCTGCTTCATGTGAGAGAGGTGGTCACGTGAGCCATCCTTCCACTCAACTCCTCCCGTGCACCCATTCCTTCTGCTGCACTGTACCTTCCACTGCCAAACCGTTTGCTTCTGCAGGGACCTCTGGGGGCCACTCACCGCCCATGAGCTGTAGGTGGAAAACCTCTGGTCTAGACACTGTAAAGTGCTTTGCAATACTTTGAGTATAAACTCCTATATAGAACTAAATTCTATTCTATTAAAAATTATACAGTGCCTTCTGTGAGCCAGAGCTAATTTCTCATTAGCTGTTTTGAAAAATACACTATAGTTGACTTCCTTCTCTCCATCCCAACATGGGACCTCATTGTAGACCTTGCACCTGGTCTTTTTTCATAGTTGCTCCTTCTGTTGCCTATCCAATCACTCCTTCTCCTGAGTATTTTCTTTCACTAGTGAGAAACGGCCATGTCAGTCTGAGGTATTGACATTGTCTGGCAATTGATACATTATCTAAAATGTAGCCAGCCTCTCTCCAAGAAACAAAAACACAACTACAAAAGTGCAATAAAAAGGCCACCTACAACTTAAAAAAGTGTCAGGATAATTTGTGCCCAGCAGTAGTAGTAATTTTAGCCACGAGGGCTGTGATAAAAGTAAATAGATGTCATACTGTCAGGACATCCACTTACCACAAAAGGGATCAGGAAGGATCCCCCTCTACCCCATGTATAGCATTAAATAATAATGCAGACACATTAAGGGCCAATTATATCATCATCAGGTATTGGCTACTGTGGGGAGCAGGATACTGAACTAGATAGGCCAGTGATCTGATCCAGTATGTAAATACTACAATTCAGCAAGTTGTCTTTTCCAGTCTTCTTTCATTGTGGCTAGTTGCCCACAGGGCTGGATGGCTCAGAATAGACCATAAATAATCTGGTTTCATCTTTCAGGCTGGTGAATGAGAATGAAGTGAAACAGTGGAGGGATCAGGCGGAGAAATTCAGAAAAGGTACGTGGTCTCTCTCTGGTTGAAGAACTGAGGGAGATGTCCTGATTTAACCACACAATGATAGACAGTAGAGATGGAGATGACCTTTTTGATCCTCCGGTCCATATCCCCATGGGACAATGCTTGTTTGGTCCTAGTAGTATATTTCCCAATGCCTTCTCTAGTCTAGCTTAAATGGCTCAAGTGATGGGGCTTCCACAAATTTTCACAGGTGATTATTCGACAGCCGAAGAAGCCTCTGTCAAGTAATATATGCCGAAAATCAGTCTACATATTCCTTGGCCCAGTTTCATCCCATTGCTCCTGGTTATAACTCCCCATCACCACCAGTTTGCATTATTTATCTCAATCTAGCTTACATCTCCTTAGAGAGCTTTCATGGATTTTGTTTAATCAGTCATGCTTCCTCATTCTCTCTGTAGAACACACAGAGCTGATGAGCAGACTGGAAAAGAAGGAAAGAGAATGTGAGATAAAGACCCAAGAGAAAGATGAAATGATGAAAACATTGAACAAGATGAAGGACAAGCTGCAGAAAGAATCCTTGGAACTGCGCCAGACCCGGGACCAAATGACAGACCTGGTAGCTCAATTCAATGAGTTCTCGGTATGAAGTTGAGACTTTTCTTCTCATCCTTTAACCCACAGAAGCGAATGAATAATGAGCAAAGGCACAATAACGATGAATTGTGTCTGCCCCCCATACCAAGGGAGTCTGAGTATATAGCTGCAAAGCTGGAGGCTTAGGATAGGTCTGCGCTGCAATCGGAAGTCTGATTGCAGCATGGATAGACATACCTGCACTAGCTTTACCCATGCTAGCATGGCTAAAAATAGCAATGAAGACATGGTAGCATGGGCTTCAGCATAGGTTGTACAAGCACACTAAGACTCTTGGGTGCGTACTTGCATTGCTAGCCTGTGCTGCTGCCCAGGCTGCTGCATCGCCACAGCTATTTGTAGCTGTTCTCACTTAATTGAAGCTAGCACAGATATGCCAGCCCATGTCGCAATCACACCTCTGATTGCAGCATAAAGGCCGCATGGACCTGCATTAGGGTCCAGGGTATGTGCCCTGGTAAAATATACAGGGGTCAATGCCCACATGTCTATAGATAGTCTGTCCCATTCTTTGTTTGTAATCGCCCTCTTCATTTAACCATGCACAAAAAGCTGAGGGGTGCGTGTCCCTTCCCACAATGTGGCAGATGTCCATAATTTGTGTTAAAACCCCCAAATGGAGCGTGTTTGCCCCTCACTCCCAGAGATAGTGGAGGAATGCAAACGTCACCAGTTATACAGGTATAGGAAATGGAGGTGACAAATGCTCCTTGTGGTGCCTCTGGAGGGTCTGTGGCTGCTTCTGCACTCCGCAGGCCTAACCTTTCCAGTAGCTACGTCCTGCCTGGTGCAGCGCCTTCCTCACTCCCACAGTGCCTCAGCCTCCGGGAGCCCAAATGCAGCCCTTAGAAGCTAGTCACTATGGATGGGGGCTTCCCTCCTGTCTTTGTGCTAGTGAGGTTAGTTGGCACGTATTCATTATTTCAAAAATTATGTGTAAGCCCCCCAAAATTCATGGGATCAGAAGAAAAATACATTTTGCCTTCTTATACTGGCTCTGTGTTTTGAGCATTTTAAGGGTCATATTTTCAAGCTCTTTTCTGTTACCACGAGGGCTAGAAACTTACTTTTTATCTTTCAAATGAAAGCTGAGATTCTCCCTTATCACAAAACTCTGCAATCTGGGGCTTTCAGAAAAACACCAAATATTGTGAGAGAGAATCACGTCAGTTGGCAACATGGAGTTACTGTACATTTTAAACATCCTTTGCTTATTCTTTTGTTTTCCAGCAAGGAGGTGGCATTTCCTTCACACCCCCTCCGCCACCCCCTCCTGGGGGCCCATTAGCTTTGCCCTCCTCTCTGATGATGGAGTGTTTGCCCCCGCTGCCACCCCCACTCCCATTCTCCAGCTGTCCCCCTCCACCTGCTCCGCCACCTCCACCAGGAGGGCCACCTCCCCCACCTGGAGCCCCTCCTTTTTTCAGCATGGGGATGATGCCCCCTCCCACAACCATCTTCAGCAACAGTGGGACCAGCCTGAGGAAGAAATCTATCCCACAGCCTTCCCACCCACTGAAATCCTTCAACTGGGCCAAACTGAGCGAGGTAAGACACCGCAGCACCCTCAGCACCCTATCTGCCCTAGTCAGGCATTCCCGCGGGTTGGCTGGTGCCAGTGGGGAGACGTTCAGGGTGCGAGAAGTTGATGCCTTCGTGTTTCTCTTCAGACCAAGGTCGCTGTTGTAAGAGAGGGCACTGTGTTCTCTTCCACAAGGTTTCACGGCTACATTGGAACCCTGTGGGTCTGAACCATGTGTATTCCCAACAGGCCCTAGTGTAGGGCTTCCGCAATGAACCTCATCCCAATGGACTGCATTATCATGAGCAAGGCACAGCCTAGACTTTCCTGCATCAGATCCAGGTGTATCTATAACTACGAGAGCAGCCACAGTGGATCTTATGACATAAACCAGAACCAGGTGTCCCCTTGGCTAATGCCTAGAGCTAGCCCCTTTCTACAGACTCCCATCAGGGAACAAGAGCATCCCCATTGTGTGACCAGATAGCATGTTGTGGGCAGAGCATAGGGTAGATGTTGCGGAGTTGACTTCTAAATTAGCCTACGTTACTCTGGCAGGGGCAGCCCCTCAGAGGGGACAGTCACTGTCATCACTCATGTCGTCATGGCTGTATGTGAACCCACCTCTGCCCCTCTCACAGTTAGACTTGCAGCTTATTGCCTTTACTCTCCCTCTTGGTGGGAGAATTCCTAAGAGACGGGGCAGTGAGAAACGGAAAAGAATTCAAATTGACTGTTGCACAGCTCGCCCCTTTTCTGCCACCCCTGCAGCCACTCCCACCCCTCTGCTTCTCCCCATCCTGCTGGATTTTTTTTCTTCCCTTCTCTTTTGGGTGTTTTTTTTCCACAGATAAAAAAAGTGTCTGTGTTGAATTTGGATAGCTGCCTAGAAACCCACGTTCTTTTTTAGACTGAAACTCACCCGGGGCCCAACTCAGGCATTCGGAATGAGTGTCTGGGGACCTCTGGAATGCCACAAGAATTCACTCTCTCTCCTTTTCTTTAAAATAAAACGAAGTGAAATATTTGCTGCACCGTCTGTGCTTGTCTGTCAGGGCCACGTGGGGGTGTGGGAGAGAATGTAAGAGTGGGGATTTATTTTCCTTTTTAGAACATGGGACTTAGTGCGCTGAAAAGAAATAACAACAATACATATATTTTTAAAAAATGAGAGGCACAGGTGTTTCTGTTTAGTGCACAGTAACCACAGGCTTATCCTGCCCTCTGGTTAGGAGTGGAGGCAGCTGTGCTAATAAAATTGAAGGGCTGGGCAGTGAGGTGGGTAAAAGATGCTATTTTGGGGAATGTGGAATAGTTTGGGGAGGTGTAGGGGGCAGGATGTTCCTATGGGAGCATTGGTCAGTGTTCGTGTTTTGACTTAGTGAGCTCTCCGTGGATCCCAGAGATTGTGGTGCTGTCAGTTGGAGGATAGCTGGGACGGTTGTTTGCTGTGACAAAATGTGCCCCATAAGTTGATGTTCCTCACTAAAAGGGAGAGGAACATGTTTGAGCCATCTCCCTCAGAGCTGGTGGGTTCCCCAAGCCGCTACTGGGCACTTCCTCTCTGATCATTGCTGTGGGGAGTAACTTATGGGTTTTAATCCTACCCTCAGAACCCAGAGTCAAGCCAGACCAAGGCTGGTTTAATGGGATCATCTTTAGTTTTACTTATTTGTTGGCATTTCTGTGGTGCTCATCCCTGCAGTCTCTAAGTACCCCACAAATACTAATTTATTAAGCCTCACAATCAATCCACCTTGTAGGAGGTGGTATCTCTATTTTGCAAATGGGGAAGCTGGGGCATAGAAATGGTTTATTATTTGTATCACAGTAGCACCTTGATTCCCCAGTCAAGATCCGGGACCCATTATGCTAGCTACTGTACATACACATGGAGACAGGCCCTACCCTTATGATCTAAATAGACAAGACAGGCAAAAGACAGAAAAAAAGTTTAAGTGCTTTGCACAAGGTTACATGTGGCGTCTGTGGCAGAAACAAGGATAAAATCCAGATCTCCTGATTCCAAGCCTGCATCTTAACTACAAGACCTTCCTTCCTACCCCAAGAGCTGATGAAGGGACTTGGTGATCTCTTGGACCATAGCATGTTTTGAAGTGAATGAGGGTCAAGGTTTGGGGCTCCTAATTCTATGGGGAGCAGCCCATCCCCTCTGGACAAAACAGGGAGGAGAGTTGACAGGATCCAGAAGGAGCAGTTAGCACCTTTGTGGGTGCTGGAGTGAATGGAAATGGAGAAGGGAGGGGGAAATCGCAGGTCCTCTGCAAATGTCTTGAGAAATGTAAATTTACCACAAAGGTTGTTTTTGTTCCCTTATTTTTAAAGGCTGCTGGGCTCAGCACAGAGACCCAGTGCTGAATTGGCCGTGCAGAGTAAAATCCCCTTCTGCCCTTATTGTGGGCCCTGAGAGGCCTACGTTGGCTGGGGCACTGTGTGTTCATGTGCCGGAAACTTGTATGGTCTGTGTTGTACCACTTCTGTGGCTCCACAGAGGAGAGTGACATCCAGGGCAGCTGATCCCGCCCCATTCACCAGCATTAACATTGGCTTGGGAAGGAAGGTGCCCATCTATTGTGCATTATGAGAATGCTGAGCTGCTTTCTAACTCTTGTTGTCTAAGCACTTGGCAATAATTAATCGCATCCCACAATTCTCATGGGCACTCCAGGAAAGGGAACTCACCCAGCGCTCAGCTGAAAGATGTTTGTGCTTTGAGGAAACTGCACCAGCTCACGAACAATGACTCATTAATTCACCCTGAGACACACAACCTCGATTAGCTTTGTTCTGAATTGATGACTGGTGTCAAAGAGACTTTGATACAATAGACTGAGCTCTAGTTAATGCCTTCCACGCCGCAGCTCCATTCCAGTACAACAACTGTTTGTTGGAAGTTACTGGTTTTAAAAGGGATGGGGAAGAGACACTAAGCATTGCAGTGTGGCCATTGTGAACTCCTGGGAAGATTTCCTTCTTTGCTCCTAGACTGAAAATGGGGGTTGCTTCCCCGACCAGATCATTCCATCCTGGGTTTTATACAAGGCCTATGGCTGGGACTGGATATTTGCTATTAGTTCAAAATATGAACCAGATCTAAACAACCTGAAAGTTTGACTCCAGATGTGGATTTGAACTCTGTCTCTTATCTCTTTATCTTCATAATAAGTACTAGTAAATTCATTTGAAGCTACCAGAGTAACTGGTTTACTTGCCTACATCTGTTCCTGTTACCTGCTGGCCAGATACTATCAAATGGACTTGCCCAGTTAGGAGTCCTCCAACTGCCAGTAGTGGCTCTACCAAATGAGCTGAAAGGGAGTCTCTCTAGCAGCCAAACCCAGCAGGATCTGTGCTGAGATTGCCTCATCAGAAAGGCTTTTATTCTGCATATACCACAACCTCTCTTGTGTGAAAAGAGTCGTGCAAATAACTTTTCACACAGAGTGAAAAAAAATCACATATCAACCAAAGGTTTCAAAGTAGCAGCCGTGTTAGTCTGTATCTGCAAAAAGAACAGGAGTACTTGTGGCACCTTAGAGACTAACAAATTTATTTCAGCATAAGCTGTCATGGGCTACAGCTCACTTCTTCAGATGCATAGAGTGAAACACACAGACAGAAGATATTTATACATACAGAGAACATGAAAAGGTGGAAGTACGCATACCAATTGTAAGAGGCCAATCAATTGAGATGAGCTATCAGTAGCTCCTGAGGTTGAATTTTTCCACAAAAACCTGAAACTGTTGCTGCTGTGAAAATGACAAATTTCCACTTGTGGTGGATTCGTGACAACACGGTGGGATTTCCTTGTGAAAAGTTGTAGTTGCTGGTGGAAAATGGCAAAAATTACAGGTTATTAATATTGATGGAAAAAACAGTTGTTTTGTACAAATATTCTCAGGGTAGAACCCTTGAATGTCCTGCTTCGATGGGGACACTGTAATTTCTTGGAGAGCTCTGTTCTGTGGGAACATTGTTCATGAACTACTACTGAAATCAGTGGAGATTCTTCCTTCCTACAGAAAGTGACACGCAAGGTGCTGAGACATTCTTCAGTAGACAGCTCCTTAAACCAGTATGAATGCCATAGCCAAAAGAGTGATCCCCAAATGGGTCCCAGAGTGAGGGGATCCTACCACTGGGGACTGGCCTTTTTAAAGGGAGATGGGGCTCCACCCCATCTGTGACACAGCCGGCTCTCCTCCCTAGGTGGGGAAAATGAAGGTCATGTGACCTGTAAGTCATGTAACTCAACCTGACCTAGCCGAGCGGCCTGGGGAGAAAGGGAAGTGTTGGTAGCAGATGGCTGCAGAAAGGTTGTGAGGGCAAGAGGAAAAGACAAGGCAGGCAGAGGCCTGTGAAAGACCCCAGATAGGCAGGCATTAGGGGGTGGCTCTTCAGGAAAGAGCAGGCAGCAACTCAGAGAAGCCCAGGAGGGGCTGAGAGGAAAGATGGAAAGGAAGGAGCTAGGGAAGGGCTGAAAGCCAAGCTGAGAGGGTGGGCAGAAGAATTAGAGAGAAGACCGACCCCTTGGGAAGGAGGCCATGGACTAGTTTGAGACTGGGGCAACGACTTTGTCCAATTTCAAAAACAAACAAAGGAACTCTATTTCCCAGGAAGGGAAGGACTTGGGTTAAGGCTTTAGCCAGAGGCCCAAGTTACAACAGCAAGCCCCTTCAGCAGCTGCTGAAGCAGGCTGAAAATGAGAAACTGAGGCAGGGCTGCTGCAGAGCCACCCCAGGCCATGAGAGGGCACTGTGGAGGTGGCCACCCTGTTACAGAACTACGTGGGGAGATAGGATTGCAACATCTCCCCCTGAAATGTTCACTGTTGTCTCAGGTGGTTCTTTGTGTCTCAGATTTTGCTTTGCAATGAAATGGGACAAAGTAGCTGTTGTCAATCAAAACCATGCCTCCCCTCCAAAAAAAAAATTGAAGCTACTTTTTCCTCAAAATGAGTCCAAATAGGTTTGTTTACATGGGTAAAGGGATCCATTATTAAGAGGGGGAAAATCCATTTTTCATCACATTTTCAAGCTCGCAATGAAATGTGAAAAAAATCAAATTTCAAGCAGTTTCACCTTTCAGTTGTGAATAGTTTGCATGCATCTAGTGGTTGCCTGCCCTAAAATTCACTGGACATTCACAATTTTCACAGGTTTCTCTTGACTTGTAGGAGAACTAGAGAGTCCGGAATGTGTCTGGAGCCTCCCAAAGTGAAGTCATGGCTCACTCATGCTGTGAAGTTATGTTGATGCATGATGGAGTTTGATGACTTGGAAACAGCTGGCAGCCAACAGAGGACAAGGCTGTATGGACTACCTGCCCTGTGCAGCCCCTTGCTTTGTCATCTTCATAACCCTCTGGGCATACAGCAGACTGTGCTGCATTTCAAACACGCAAGTGCGGAAATGAAGTGACTGCAGGAAGGTTATAAATATAATGCACCAAAAGCCCATCTCAGTAGAGCAAACGCTTCATTATGACTCATCCTGACTAATCCCATGTTTCTCAAACTACACCACTTCCCACCATTTCTTAGCTAATCACTAGGGGACCCTGGGAAATGTAGTTCCTGGGTTTAGTTTCTCAGTGTGGGCCAAGACTTGTGCAAAGCAGAGAAACCACAGAGCTTGGCAGGCTTGTAACAATTAAAAAAAGAAGTAAAGAATTTTTTATTTTTAAATTGCTAGTTAGGGACCATAAATATTTTTATGGAGCCAAGGGAATCATTTATCATAGCAACCACACTATGTGAGTCTGTTTCTCTTAAAATGCTCAGTCTCTCTGGCCAATGACAAGAAACTATCAGCCAAGCAGCAAGAGCGCAACAGAAGAAATTGTCTAGCAGCCCGCTGCAGCTTTTCAAGGGTCAGTCTCAACACAAGAATGGAAGGGACAGCCCCTCCGTGTGTGCACTCTGTGTACTGAAGGCTGTTCTGCCCGCACCTCTCTGCATAAGGGATTTCCTTAACTGGTATACTTCTTCAGCACTTAAGCTGGGCTGTCTGGGATTGAAGTTCTTTTGTTCATGACATAGACTGTCCCAGCCTTGGATGTGTCTTTATAGGTTTATGTAATATAAAACCAAGAGATGGGCAAACCAGCTTAGATGAGACAATACCTGGCACGAATGTCTTCTGAAATCAGAAAAAGTAGGGGTAACTTTCTGTTTGTTTGCTTTTTTATTTTTTTCTGGGGGAGCACATGACAGGGGAAACTTGCTTTGATGTTCCCTTTATAGTTCTTGTTCCCAGGCAGATCAGAAATCCAGTGAGAATTGCCTCCCTCCCATGATCCTTCTAGCCACAAGGAAATCTTGCTCCCATTACAGATTTCCAGCCTGGTATTTAGATCAACAGAGTTTGAGCAGCTGTTTTGGTCACATCCAGACTTTCACTTTACACAACATGTGCCACACAACTTCTCTCAGTGCTTATCATTTTGATGGGGTCTAGGCAGGGGCGGCTTCAGGCACTAGCGCACCAAGCGCATGCCTGGGGCGGCAAGCCGCCGGGGGTGGCCTGCCGATCGCCATGAGGGTGGCAGTCAGGCTGCCTTCAGCGGCATGCCTGCGGGAGGTCCGCCGGTCCCACAGTTTCAGCGGCAATTCGGTGGCGGGTACGCCGAAGGTGCGGGACCGGCTTCCCGCAGGCATGTCGCCGAATCCGCGTTACCAGCGGACCTCCCGCAGGCATGCCGCTGAAAGCCGCCTGACTGCCGTGCTTGGGGCAGCAAAATACATAGAGCCATCCGTGGGTTTAGGGCTTTTCCAGAAAGACTCCCCCACCCCAAATAGTACAGCTACACATCCAGCTAGTGATGGGGTGACTCAGAAAGGGTTGAGAGCTCAGAGAAACATCAAGAAGTTTTGGTGCTTGTCTGGAACTTTAGGGTCTACAAAAACAGGCTGGAAAGTGCATGAGAACTAACTTTGTCTGGATGCTTCTGGTTGAGACTGGAAATGGAATCCAGGAATGGGAGAACATGAAAATTAGCTTTGGTTCCTGAATCTTGAGGTTTGGGCTGCTTGTTATTTCAGCCAGTTCATCCCATTCTAGTGGCAAGGTCCAAATGTCATGACTATGATCGTGACTTTGCAGTGGCCGGAAAGGACCACCCTGGATGTAGAAAAAGTCACAAAACTATTGGTGAGCCTATTAGATTCTGGGTTCTACTCCATACAGGAGGTTTTCCAGGGCTGTGATGACTTTCCCTCACTCACACTGCTTTTCCTCCCTCTGTTTATGCATCCACGAGCTGCCTCAAGAGAGGAAGGGTGTTGGTTTTGCTTTGCACCTTCCCACCTTGTTAGGAATTTCCTCCAGACACTTCAGCCCCCCTCCCCTTTTTTTTGGTCCCCACATCAGGTGTTTTTCCTGCTTCCTTGAGCCTTGTGGCTTACATTTCTCTTGCTCCTCTGATGAGTGTGAATGGGAAGTGGAACCTGTTCCTAATTAGTTCCTATAATGACGTGTTAACACACTTTGCTGCATGGGTGCACCTTAGGTACTTCAGAGTTAGATCCTGTTGGGGGCAGTTTCATTGGCTTTCCTTACTTGCTGTCCACAAGACCCCCTTGCTGGGCTGTTTTGCAGCACCTTCACCGCCGAGATTTCTCCCAGTTCCTTTATATTTCTATCTTATTATGTAGTCTGATCTTTTTTCACCTCAGTGGAGTGCTATTGCCCTGGAGGGACAACTTACGGGGAGGAGAAGGTAGTTCAGTTTCCAGGGGCTGTTCAGTCCATGGTGCTTCTGCTGAGACTGCAAGAAACAACAACAATCCTTCTGCTAGCTTAGAATAGGGTGACCAGATAGTTAGTATGAAAAATCGGGATGGGGTGGGGGGTAATAGCCACCTATATAAGACAAAGGCCCAAATATCGGGACTGTCCATATAAAATCGGGACATCTGGTCACCCTAGCTTAGAATGACAGCTGGCCTTAAAATTCAAAGGCTTTCAAAAGCTTCCTTGTGACAGTGGAGAGCATGTAGTTGTGAGAGGGCATCTGGCTTCCCCCATGTTGGTGACTCCCTCTTTCATGGTAACCACCTACCGGATGGGGGAAGTCTGCCCTACATCATGCTGCCTTCACCATTGTGACTGTCAGTGCTGCTGTTTGAGAGGTTGGGATACAGATCATATCTGTTTGAGACCTGTGGGTATCTTCTGGTGTGGACAGGGGAGCCCATCCAATAGGAGATGATTTGCCTTTAAAGATTGGGGGAGAGTCACTTGGAGGGAAAACCTTGAAGACTCCTTGATCCCCTTGCAGGGTGTATTCCACACCCAGTTAAGGTTTGCAGCAAGGTCTTGTGAAATCTGCAGCTGGAGAGAATTGTGTCTGGGATTTCCCACACATTAGAGTCCTTGTTAAATTTCCTTCTTATGACGGCAACCCTGCTGCAACATGACCATGTTCATCTGCAGCAATTGCCACTGTTGGAAGGAAATGTACCCATGGGATCTTGAGTGGTATCTGCGATGATGTATTCTAGTCTTGGAAAGTGGCATTTTTAAACGGGAATCGATGTAATGCAAATTGCAAAATGCCCAGGTTAAAAAAACAGCCCCATTAATTTGTATTAATGTTTCTCTTTGGACTAGAAAACTCTGTCTTCCAGAAACAAAACATGCCCCCCAAATGACAGCAGCATCCTGTGCTGTGCTGAGTGGATACAATAGTTGGGTCTGCCTTGCTGGAATTGGATGTGCTTAGCTACAAGTTTTCACTGTGGTTTGTCTCCTGAACGTATGATTTTTCTCTTTTGGGTTGTAGGAGAAGATCCATGGCACAATCTGGCATGAAATCGATGACTTAAAGGCTTTCAGGGTGCTGGATCTGGAGGATTTTGAAAAAATGTTCTCTGCTTATCAAAGACACCAGGTAAGGGTGGGGCTCTTTTCCCCCCAGCATTGCAGGGCTTGAATTTCTTGAGACTCTGGATCAGGATGGGACACATTAGTGACTGGACCCTTCACTGGCACCAGTGGGGGTGGGGAGAAACCAGTAGGGGGTTACTTCTGCTTGAGAGTTTGGTGCTCCCTAGAAAAGCACAAGAGTGGGGAGGTGGGTAGGGAACCGTTGGCCAAAGTATAGCATGCTGTTGCCTTGATATTTAATCCAAATGTGTAGCCCTTGGATACTACAGATCCCAGCAGGTAATGCTCTGATTTGATCTGAGCAGCAGCTAGCTTCTGTAAAGCTCTTGAACTTTGTATTCAGTGCTCCTAATCTCTTTCTATCTTTTTTTTCCTTCTTATTCCTCCAGGGTAAAACTCTGGGCAGCTACAGAGTATTGAGCTATGTGACCAGAATTAGCTGTGTTTTGCTTTTGCTTTTTTCCAAACAACATATTGGCCAAACTGGCTGAGTTACAGAAACTGTCCGAGTTACAGATTATGACACTAACATCATACTCTAATAGCAGCCATTTATTAGAAGGTCTTTTTCCCCCTCCTCCTATTCTTGGAAAGCGAGTCACCTACAATCTGTCTGCTTCCCAGGAATGAGATTCAGCAGGAACGGGGCTGTACTTCTACCTCCTTCCCTCCCCCAGATTTCTCTAGCGTTTGGAATGTGTTCGGGGAAACTTTCTTGCAACACTGCAGAATCAGGCCATTGCTCCTGAGTTTGAAGACAGACACGGAAATGATATCTAGAAGCTATTTTGATGCTTAAATATTGCCCCCTATAGTGTTGCAGAATTACCAAGTGAGATTTAGTTAGCTTTGTTCTCTCACTCTTCTCTCGTAATTTTTCATCCAGTGTTAAATTATAAACATATTAAAATAACTTGCACAGTCTGATTTAATGGCACAAACATAAGGAGTTTAGTCAAGGCTTCCCTTTCCATCTTTAGACGATACCACTGAGTATGCACTAGGTATCAGACCTCTATTATCAGGCATTGGCAAACTGATTCCAGTAAAGAACTAACCTGGGCACCGTATCTCCAGCCGTCATAAAAGCAGGATTAGCAGAACTGTTCCGATTCACTAACCCAAAGGTGTCTAGATGAGCATCCCAACTTGGAAGCTTTCGAGGTTCCATTATATGATGGGAATGTTGCACTTTGGTCCTCATTCTGCCCCTGCAAATATCTTGACATTTCAGTGGGGTTGCTAGGATTACTGGCTGACCAGAACTGTCCTAATCTTGGGATGTTCAGATTAGGCAGATTATTTGCATGATAAAAGACCCCCAAAATATCCTCCTAAGGTATTTACTCCTCAGTAAGAATCCAATTTAGTCAGACTAAAGTACATGAAATTCATTCCTTGTCCATGGCTGGCTTTAGGCATTTGCAATAACCACAGCTGTGAGGGGAACCCTGAATCCGTGCTGAAACAGGCAGTTGCCATCTGTATGTGTTAGCAGCCATAACAGCAGCAAGACACCATCACAATGCAGTGATGTTGCATCAACACATGACATCAAGATGTAAACATTGGAGCTTCATCACTAGGAAAGGCCTTCCAAAGTCTTGCCTCCTTTGGGCCCCAGAATCTAAAGCCGAGGCTGTCCTTGTCTGCCAACTCTTAGTTAGAAACATAATATTTATGGCTGCATTACCAACCACTGAAAAGCAGTTTGGCCGGTTCAGCCATAATCTAACCTGACCCTAACCCCTTCCCACTGGAGTGGAGCCATCCTCCGAGAATGACCTCCAGGAGTCTCAGAATGGTCCTTTTGATCCTTATAAAAATACTATAGTACTTTATAACAATAGCCCCAGACACTGCAGTATCACTGATGTAAGATATACTAGTGTAGAATACAGTAGTATGTTTTTGTACTAAAGGTTATTGACTCTATTCCAGCTTTGGCTTCAGTTTTACACATTTTTTTCTTTAAATATTCCTTTGTTGCTCCTTTAAATGATGATATTTCCTTTTCATCTACATGCATTCCAATGCAAACTGGATTCCGATCAATAAGTCCTCACCATTTTTAACAAGCAACCAAAGTTCCTCATGAATTAAAATCTGATCAGAACTTTTCCAGTTGATTCACACTTGGTCTTTTCTTCCTTTTTATTGTTGGAAATGCTCCACTCTGGCCAACTATGTGTTTACTCTGGGTTCGTGACTTTTAAACTTCATCCAAATATCTGTGAAGAAAAATGTCAAAGCAAATCTCTGCTCTTTTGCATTTGAAACAGAAAGTGAGCGTGTAAATAAGGCATTTCTTTCTTTTGCTACTATTAACATGGTCTTAATATATTTTTCCAGTTTCATTTGTTAAACTGCTTCTTTATTTTTAAAGACAAAAGGATCTGTTCTCCCCTCCCTTGGCACATGTATCTCCTGCTGTGGGCAGAAGCAGTGTTGCGTCCAGTGGACGAGCACTGGACTAAGAGGCAGGTCTCTTGGACTCCTCTCCTGACTCTGCCACTGACTGTTTGTATGATGTTGACTAAATCACTTGAGCTCTCTGTGCTTTAGTTTGCCTGTCTATAAAATGGGGATAATACCAATTGCAGAAGGGTGTCGTGAGCCTTAATTATTTAGTGTTTGTCAAATGCCTTAAGATCTCTGGATGGAAGTTGCTCTAGAAGCACAATGAGTTATGATTAACAATGGGGAGCTATGCACATGCATAAGGAGAGGAGAACAGAGCCTGGAATGTTAACCTTGGCAGCTCTTTGGATAAGGACTGTGGCCTAGATTTTTAAAGGTACTTGCCACTCAGCGTCGCAAGGCCCAAGTGGCATTGACTTTCCATGAGCAGAGCAGTGCTTAAATACCTTTTCACAATCTGGGCCTATGTTACTTGCAAATAATTTTATTCTCTTAGAAAACTGTGTATGGCTAAAATCTGCCTCTTTGTTAAACTTGGTATCTTTATCTCCGTGGCTAATGTTTGGCATGTTTCCTTCTCTGTTATTTGCGGCTGCTGCCTGCATAGGACCTGCTAACTAACCCTTCCTCCTGTAAGCAGGTGAGTACCACTGTCTGCCTCCTAAAAACAAACTATTGGCTTGCAAGATTCTCCTGTGGTGTGCAGACCAGAGACAACACACAGCACCATGCAAATAAGGGGCCCTGTGCTCATCTAGTGCTCGATTTTCACCAGATCCTGCCTGGGTGGGGAGGAGGTACAAGGAGTTCCCCTACTTGCATTCATCCGGAGTGGGAGGAAGCTGAACACAAGCATCATCCTTTCACTCAATTGTGCAAAATGTGGAGGTCTTGGTCTGTTTTCTACTGACAGGTGACCACATCATGGAAAACCCATCAGTGTAGCTTGCTCTCAGTGGTCCCCTTCTTGACCATTTTTAGCAGAGAGGGGAAGGAACCAATGGGACATAGAATGTGAAGTCCTCCTCAACCGTAGCAATGCTTTCTGCAGTTCCGTGTGTGACACTCCGCAGTAGGGCACTGTGCGGAAAGTTTACACTGACCTGCCCACACCTGCTTTGGAGATGACTTCAGTCTCTAGGCTGGTCACGTCAGGTCCCTTTCACCAGCCACAAAACAGTCAATAAAGAAAAGCTTCTGTCTGTAGGGCAGGAAGAAGATGCTGAGGCTTGAGTTGGGAAGAAGGTTTCAGGTCATTTGACAGTGACCCTTCAGGGCAATTGAAGAGCAGAGAAGGTAGATGAGAGAGGAGTCCGGTTCAGTCCACCTTCTTTGGGAGGCTCGTAGTCCTCAAAGACCAGGAGGAGAGACAGAAGTGTGTGCGCATGAAGTGAAGAAGTTCAGGCTCACTTGTCTACTCATCGCACTACGGGCACTTTAAATAAAATCAGAGTAGAGAACACTTCAAAGGAAGGCATAGCTTTCGAAAATGGGTTTGTTCTGCAGTTAGTCCCCACGGTCCTATAGTGAACCCTGGTCACCAAGTCTCTGGGAACTTCCCTTCCCAGAAAGTCCTATCAGAACCTTGGCCACCAGGGGAAGCTGATACATGGTTTTGGTCAGCTCAGTATTTTTCAGCATGTTAAGGGACAACAAAGGATAAGGTTGTGTGGTAGAAACAACTCCCTAAGGCAAGTTTCTTAGGTTAGGATTTTCACAAGAGCCTAAGGGAAATACTCCCAATGGGAGCCTTACCCTTATGGCTGTCCCTAAAATAGGCACATCAGTTATTTCTCTGCCATGTGAGAGTACGAACTAGGGCCTTTAAAGTAGTTTGGAGATGAAAAGCTTTAAAAAAGTCTATTCTAGACATGCCTGTGCAGAGCTTCCATTAGCCATATTCAGAGTCACACAAGCCCTTTAAGAGGAGAACAGACTCACTAAGCATCTTTGGGTCTCAAGTCCTGGTTAATTCTCCATTACTAGCGGACAATGACAACTACAGGGAGCTGGTTGCAGCTCTCTTATCCTCAGCTGCCCTGCAGAAGCTAGAGCTGCAGGGAAGGGCTACTCAGCTGCTGGCATAAGCTCCCTAACAGACCTGACTCCAGTGGAGGATCAGGACTTGTGCCAATCTGCTCCAGCCATGCCCCTTCCTGCCCCCTGACTCAACCCTTTCCTTTTCCTTACGCTGGGGTCTGGAGGGCAGCTGACGTCAGAGACGGTTATGCTGCCTCTGCCAGCATCACACCTGTGGAGATTCTCCTAATGGGGAATTCTCCAGGGTCAGTTTCTGGCCCTCAGTGGCCTGGAGAATCTGGCTCTGAGACAGCACGGAGCATGCTCCTGCTGAACATCAAATTAGCGTTGGTTCCCGTTTTTGTGCGGCGAGTACAGCTGACTGACTCCAGGGATCCCACTCATCATGTCGTTTCTCTGTGTTTCTTGGCATCCCTTGCTCAATGGGAATTTGGCAGGCCTGTGTTCCAATGGTGAACTCAATAGTTAAGAGACAATATAAGGACTCTTATCCAACTGCCTCCAACTGGAATGCAACCTTTCCGTACTGCTAGGCAACCTCTACTGCAGGCACTTCCTCCTGGAGGCCATTCAGGCTTCTGAATAGACCTGTGTTCCTGGGGATATACACACGCATGTGCACTGCACCATAATGCACTTGGTTCTGCTCTCATATTGGTTTTACACCAGTATAACTCTGTTGATGGAGTTACTCCTGATTTACGATGGAGTGAGATCAGAATCGGGCCCAATGCCTGAAAGCTAGGATGATCCTGCACAACTAATGATGATCAGCATTTGTTTGACTAGTGAATTGGGGTGAAAATCTGTCTGAGTCCCTCCTCCTTTAGAAGTTGATTTTTGGCACTTCCTGTCTCCTATTCTGCCTCCTGGATGAATCTCCCCACCAGTTCAGCGCTAGTGGGTTAGGCTGGGCTGTTGCCTAATATACTTGGTTTATTCTGTGGGTGTTGGCTAGGGAGAAGAGGAAGAAAAAACAGGGCATTGATTATTTTTTCCTGTCTGGTTACTTGCAGAAAGAGATGGGCTCAACTGAGGACCTATACTTGTCCACACGGAAGGTTAAAGAGCTTTCTGTTATTGATGGCCGAAGGGCTCAGAATTGCGTCATTCTCCTCTCCAAGTAAGTGTAGTAGCTATGAACTCATGGTGTATAGCATGGTTAATGTGCATAGAGGCAAAGATAGACCCAACACACGGACACCCAAATACTCACTGAGATCAACCATGGACACCTGCACGTGCACACAGATGCAGATGTATCCACACCCAGATGAGCGCTTGCCTACGTGGAATTGCATCCACTCCTGGAGACCCGAATGTATTTACAGGTTTGCAAACACACCTGGCCATCCAAAACACAGGCACTCCACAGATCTATATTGAAACACAGGCAAGTAGATAGACTCTCAACTAGCATAAACGCACACAAACAAGTGTATGTGGGGAATGTGGCCACTGTGCAGTCAACAGTATGTGGGCTGTCCCATAATGGTGCACACTGTGCACCATATATGTCATTTGGCAGCAGTTTTGCTGTCACATTCTTCTCTGCATATTGCTCTGAGAAACGCTTTGGGAGCACACCAGACTCCTGAAGGATGCTGGCAGATCCAATACATTTTTCTTCAGCCCCTCCCCCCCCCCCCCTTTTTTTTTTTTTTTTTTAATTATTATTGCCTTTGTGGGGAAGGCAGCGAATGTGAGAGACACTCAGGAGACACTTTAGATATTAAGTGCCAGCAGATGTTTTTGCATCCTCCATATCCTCCTGCAATGACCTGTGTGTCCTCATATGCTGTGTATCTGGGCTATATGCACACCTTGCATGTCCTTTGCCAACCATTCTCGGCTAGGCTGCAGGTCTGTTGCTAAACAACAGTTTTGGTTCAGTTCTAAGCTCTGCAGAAGAAGACTCCCCTTGCTACCAGAGAGGAGAGGAGTGTCAACAACTGGGGTGGAGACAGCTTTTGAGGTGGCACTCAGAAAAAATCATTCCATTGCTCAGCAGGAAGTGCAGGTTAATAAGCGTTGGATTCCTCAAACCCCCCACCCCCACACTCCAGCAAGCTAACAGTTAAAAGCAAAGCTGCAGCCAGACCAGCAGAAATGAAGCCCGTTCTTTCCATTGCTTGGTGAAACCCACTGAGGTTCTCATTAAGTTACTTATGTGACATTAGTCGGCATGTCAGCGAGACACCCTCCGCCCCCCATTCCCAGTGAAGGGGGTCGGTTTACAGTTTTCTGTCTGCAATAGTTGCCTGTGCATGTCATTGGTGGCTGGCTGAGGGTTGTTTAGGGGCAGCAGGATTTTCATTCCATTTGACAGATCTGCTGACGTGTCTGGGGCCCAGATTAGCTCTCTTAAACACGTGGAATTTATCTTATATTGATGAGAGAGGATCTCAGGGTGAAAGCCTGTTACTTGGGTTGTCAACAAGAGATTTGGGTTGTTTGCGCATCTTTCTTTTTCATACATTTAAGTTAACTGTAACCTGGTTAAAGGCACCAGGGTGAAGCTCTAGGGACTGAATTTGTGTCTCTGTCCAAAGAACAAGAACAGCTTGGGCACTAGCTTTTCCCCCCAGTCCTTGTTCTGCCCTGCTCATATGCCTCAGACCTGACCTGGGGGAATTCTCTGAAAGAGTGAGAGCGGAGGTCATTCTCCAGGCCTTGTCTTCTTTTCTCCAACTGCTAGCAAATGGGCCTTGGGAAGTGGTTCTGAGATGTGGACACTTGTATTCTAGGACTTAGGCTGAGTGCCATCAGCTCATTTCACATGGTCCACCAAGCCATCATCAAATGAGCATGACTTTGAGTAGCTACTGATCTAGTTTGGATTCAAAATGGGGACTTGTTCCCCATTACCAACATCTCGAGATAAGTGGTGCCCACAGCAAATGACATTCTGACCCCATTGTCTTAATAGAGAGGCCAAGGACTGAATGGAAAATGGAGAATGAACTCTCATTTCTTTCTTTGAGGAGGTTAGATTTGAGCCTAATGGATAGAGCAGTAGCGAGGGACGCTTGCGGTGTTTTCTGTGCAACTAGGAAACACCCATCTCCAGGGCTATCAACCCAGCATTTTCCATGTGCATTAAATAGCCTATAAAATAAAAATTTTATAACGTACAATGGGCGCTTTCCCTGAGTAAAGGCGGAGTAAGGACCTAACAATGTGCCCCAAAATTGTTGTTTTATTTAGAATTCACAGCTCCATAATCCTTTCCCAACCTCACAATACCCATTTAAGACAAAAGAAGCAAAAATCTTTGGGCAAAAGGTTCCTTTAAATTCATGCCTTTCTGTTCCTCGGGCTATAGTCAGATTTACTTCCAAGTGTAGTATGTGGCTTTTTCGGGTTGATTGTAGACAATAATTACAAGGGATTTTATCATGCCTTTGCTGTTTCCTTCCTTCCCCGGCTTCTTTATCCTTCCCTCCCAGCCTCCACCAAGTCTTTCAAAGTGAAATTCTCCAATCAGGGAAGGGGATCGGCATCCATGAGCATGTTGCTTTCCCTGCCCTCTTTGAAATGCATCTTATGCGCACGCAGGCGTACGCAATAAGTGTTCGTTTGTTTGTTTGTTTTAAAAAAGATGCTAAGCAAACACAGAGTGCATTTGTGCAATCCTAAAATCCAAAGTTGCAGATCCAACTCTCAGGTTGCTGTAGTACTTTCCAACAGCTGTTTCCAATTGACTGTAAGTGTGCATACATCCCCGTAGTTTATTCCCCCTTTGTTTACACTAAACTGTCGTGTCCTTTAAAGTAAAATAGCTGTATGAGGTTTTTCCAACTACTCGAATGATTTTGTTTTACTAACACTGTGTTAGAAAGGGTCAGGCAGAGCTCATATTTCATAGGGCCCAACAAGCCAAAACCTAGCTGGAGTGGGAAATAGCCATCTCGCTCATTTTTAACAAGACTGTGGCAGAAGGGATTAACTGGGATAAATTAAAGGGGATGAAAATTGGAATGCTAGTTGATTTCTGTTGACTAGGAAATTATTTGGTAAATGTCCTTCAGTGTCACCTTCCTCCTCATCCTCTTCCTCATGAAAACTTTTTTTTTATCCCCTGGCCATTTACCATCACTGAAACCTTGGGGTTTTCTCCAGTGCAGTGGGTGCAATACTCATGTTGTGGAGCCTGATGAGTCTAGATCCAAGCCCTAGTCCATGTCAGGTAGCTATAAGCCAACTGCAAAGGGCTCAGATAAGAATGCAAAATGCTGCTCTGAATGTTTCACAAGGTCAGTTTCTCTCACAGTACCTCCAGTACGTTCCGTTTGAGCCAGGTCACAGGACCAACTCTCTCTGGTGTGTCCTGGCTCCCACCAGGTTCAAGAACAGCTTCTTCTGTGGTGTTTCTGACATGCACCAGTTTCTGCCACATCAGAAATCAGCCTCCCTCACGATATTCCTGATATCCCCAGTGTCCACCAGGTCAGAGGTCTCTGGTCAGACTTCTGTGGCCTGGAACAGCCTGCCTGTCCCTCTGGACCTCATCAACTCTTCGTCTCTTTTCAGCTCTCAGCTGGAAATTTCTCTGCTTTCCTTTGCCTATACCTTTTCTTTCTGTCTGTTCCAAGTGTTCGGATTCCCTGATTTAATATGGTGTCCTTGCACAATTCCGTGTAGTGTTTGTCCTGTGCAGGCCAGGAGTCTTACGTTGTTTATCTCTGTGAATCAGTGTGGACATGGGCAGTTATTGCAAATAACGTTTTTCATACTAAGGGAGCGTTGTACTGAAAGCATGTACTTGTGTGCCACTCGTCAGCTAGCCTAGCTGAGGCCTTGGCAAAGACTATTACACTGGGACTGTTGCATGCAAGTGGGTCATTCACGCCTGTTGCTCCTGTGCAGGAATTGGTCATCAGTGCCCATCCCCAAAGGACAGGAACCATGGTGAGTGCTACAGAAGTGCCATAGGTAGAGATACACACAGGTGTAACTGAGGTGAACTGCAGATGTTTGCACTTGGGCTGGAGGCCAGACTCTGAAACCATGTGAGAGGAGGTGGGTCTCTGAGCCTGAGTTCCACCCAACCCAAACATCTACCCTGCAATTTTTAGCACCACAGCCTGTGCCCTGCGAGCCCAAGTCAGCTGTCTCAGGCCAGCTATGGCCATGCAGCACATCTTTTATTGCAGTGTAGACGTACTCTAGGATTGGGTATCACACCAGTCTGCCACATGGTACTGCCTTCTCAGCACTTCCAACTTTCCAACCACTTCAGTCCAGACATGAAGGGGACTGGGTATGGAACCACTCCCACAGAGCACTCCTAGCCCCTGCCATGGCAACCACATCACCCAGCAGTGATGGCAGCATCTCTCCTCACCTCTGGCAGGCTGTGCTGGCAGCTGTGAGAGAAGGTCGCTCTGGAAGGTTGTGTAGTCACTCCCTGCTGGGAGAAGCAGTAGCAAGACTAGCTCAGCCCCTCTGCATGCTCCACTTGGGATCAGCCTAAGTGTGAAAGGGAGCCAAAAGTTTTCTCCTTGTCCCTCCCACACAGGGCAGTGAGCATCTCTCTCCTTGAGCAGGAACAGGTGGGGTTACCATCTTCCTGGAATGAAGTAATTAACCTCTGTCTGGACATAGCTCGTTGAAGCCCAGTTATAGAGGAGTGACATTTCTCTGTAAGCAAAGTGAAGTGAAGGCAATTAGGACTTTCTCTCCATGTAACTGGGAAAGTTCATCTGCACACACAAGTTGCACTGGCTTAACAAAAGATATGATGTTAAACTGGTGCAGTAGTGCAGCTGTGTGTGTGAACACTTGTAAATGGGCTTATATCAGTGTATCAGTTTACTCTTGTGTATTATAGGGATAGCTCAGGGGATCAGTCATGGGATGTGGCCACAAGTTCAAATTCAGCCAGGTTTGGCAGTGAATAGCAGGCACTATTATCGAATGGCAGTTTGGTGACTGTTGTGGGGGAGAGGGAGTCATTCCATTTCCTTTAAGACAAATATCCGCATCCCAAAAACATACCATGTGCCAGCCTTGGCTGGTAGTTTCAGTAAAGGCCAAGATCAGATGGCACATGAGCTTCCTTCTTACCCTATAGCCATCTCTCTAGGTCAGGATTCAATGGGGCATGTGAGAATGTGTGTGTGTGTGGAGGAGAAGTTCAGTGCTGCTATACCTATTCTGTGAGTAAAAAGAGCTTGTCAGTCTCCGGGGCTGCCAATCCCAGTTCCTGTCACAAGAACCACGAGAATCCTTTTTGAAAAGGTAAATGATCTTGGTCAAAGATGAGAGATTTCTTTTCCCAGGGAGAGAGGAAGAGTGGGAATGACATCCTCTTGGTAGGAAAAGTTAGCATACTTTGAATAACTTCATGGTACCCTTGCAGTAGGTGACTGCACTTCTTTGAAAGCTGAGCAAGACCTAACAGTACTTGCCCAGGAGTGGAGCAGTAAACTGAGTTGCTCTTTCCTTTTCTGGAGAGAGTTGGCGGCTGAATGATGGGTGTACTGTGTTGGTCTTGCAGCGGAGGGGGAAGGGGTAACACCAGCTTGAATCAATGGATATCTTTAAGGAAGAAAAATGAGAAAGTGCTGGATGTCTGTAAGGGAGATTGATGCGAAACGACGGCATGTCTCCCGGGCATGTTCTGAGTCAGGCAGACGTCTTTCTCTGAGAGGACCAAACAATAAGCCACTTGATGTCTGCAAGTGAAGCTGGCGTTAAATCAGCCAAGGTGTCCTGGGGAGATTAGTGATGAATTACTCTGCAGAGTCAATAGGGATTATTTATGTGTCCAGAGGGGATAGAAGGAGGGAAGCTAAGTACCATATTAGAAGCTATTTGGTAATTGTTCAGCTTTAATGCCACTAGAAGAAGCCACAAGCAGTTGGGTCTCCTTGCTCCATCACCATGCGGGGAGGGATGGGCAAGGAGAAGAGGGTGGGATTCCTTCCACGGCTCTTTAGGTCCTTTTTCCATCTGACCAAGGCTGGGGCAGGATTGAATGCAGGTTTGGGCACTGTTTGCACTATAGACGAAGCCTATTGTAGCTGAAGAAGAGGGTGCTGCATTCCCTTTTAAGTCACATGTCACCAGCTGGGTTTGTGGCCAAGATCTCTGTTGTCAGTGAAGATATATGAAGCAGAGAGGACGCAGCTGGAATTACACATGCCATTTGGAGTCTGGAGGACTGTGGCAGTTGGATAAATAATCTTTGGCTCTGGAGAGTTGGTAAGAAAGTCACTGATGTTGGAGAATAGCTCTCCAATGCTGAGCTGTAATTTCTACAGTGTCACTTTTTGGGCCATAAATACACTTTAATTTGGTGTCTGTACCACACGTCAGGGAAACCTCTATTCAGTCTTGAATGGAAAGATTTTACGCATCTGCTTTAGGTTCCTGTTTAATCAGTTCACCTGTTTCTGTTTAAATGCAACACATCTGTTTCACGTTACTGTTGGAGATTTTCAGATCTACTACAGGGTTGATTGGGAGTTTCGAAAATATAACGAGAATCGTTTGATTAACAACCCTTTGGGCCAGTTGTTCAACTGGCTTCTAACTGTGGGAATCCATGTTTGTGCTGTTGACGTTTCAAGTGTTACAAGCAGTTACTGCCCCAACAGAAAAATAAACCCCATTTTGATGAGACCCTTCTATCAGATTTAATAGGATCTGTAATAGTCTGGGATGCCCACTTGCAGTCTTCATGACCCCGTTACAGGCTTGCAAGTGACCAAGCTCAACTGTCTTCCTGCAGAAGATTGGGCAAGCTTTATGGCACTCTCTAATATGGACTGGGTCAACCAAGCCAGATATTTTCCTGCTCGTGGTTGGGCACAGATGCATCCAAAAAATCAGTGTTTATGTAGCTGTCTGTCATTTGGGGGCTCTCAAATAGTTTTGAACAAAAGATGCATGAAGTGATTTTGGTGCTGGTGAAAGGTGCCAGGTCGATGGAGTTGGAAACTGAAGTCTTCAGTTAGGCCACAGAACAGATTAGTGACCAGCAGCAACATGAGCTTCTCCCACTGTCTTTGCCAATGTACCTCAAACCTGTCTGTTCAGTTTTGGGCCCCTTGTTGAAACTGATGCCAGTTGGAGAGGATGATCTACGTAATGAATGCTATGTTTTTTCATATCCTTTCAGCCTGAATTGTTTCTATTTTAGGTCAGGGTGAAAATCAGAGTAAAGACAAAGTTAGATTTCCATGTGAGAGCACGGTGTGCGTGTCTCCTCTGTAACAGTCTGCAGGATCTCTGCCTCACAATATGGCACCTACCTCCTGCAGAGAGCAGTCTCCTAGAAATGTAAAGGTGCAGTCCCAAGAAAAACAAAACCATAACATTTATGTAGCCACAATGTGTATGCATCTGCTAGGAAGTAGGCAGAGACCCACCAAATAATTTCACATTAGGCTCTTCAGCCATCAGATTGTAACCGGTTTTGATCACTAGCAAGTTCATAGACTCACAGATTTTAGGACTGATAGATTTTGAGGGCAGAAGGGGTCAGACCATTAGATCATCTAGTCTGATCTCTAGTTTAATTCAGGCCATAGAATTTCACCCAGTTCCCCCTGTGTTGAGCTGAGCTTGAGTCAACCTGGTAACCTAGAAGTAAAATGTTTTTTTCCAATCTTTCATTTCCAAGCCTTTTAATTCTCTCGTCTCTTCTAACTGTGGCTCAACTGTATGCCTTGTATGGAAATCTAGTTTCCTTACCTTTTGTGCTGGCAGTTGGCCCTTTGCACCATTTCTACTATAGCTTCATTTCTAAAACAGACTGGATGAATAGTTGGGAACAGCATAGCTGAAGCTAGTTAGGAAGCATAATTTTTAAAAAGCTTTTGAATGTCTGCTGATTCATATTTTAGTTCCCAGCTGTTTATTATATTGGGCAACATTAAAATGATTTAAATTTCTCAGATTTAGTAATATTTCCTGTCTGTAAAAATAAAGCATTTACATTTGCTTTTGCATAGTTCCAAAAACGTGATCCTATCCAAATGGCAACAGCAGCATGAAATGTTACCGTGATGTTTCTCAGCACTGAAGACAAAAACATTCTGCTGCATTCATCAACCCCATGACTCATTTATTTTTGTTTTTCCCCCTCTACTAAATGTTAAGTAATGCATTGATTGGGGAAAGTCCATGGAGACTGAAGTCCTTTCTGCACAAAAGCTTCTCCTCCCCCCTCCCACTCCCCACTTTGCCTTGCCTTGCCTGTAGGCTTCACCCCTGATGTAGAGACTTTCTTTGGGAGTAAGATGGCAGTTCCCTTTGTGGTCCATTCCATCTCGGAACAACCAATGAGGATGTCAAATATGGTGTGTGGACTTCGTAATATGGACAGCAGTTCACTAAGAACTGGATTGTGGACCACCAAGCCCATTTCAGAAAAGCCAGCTGGCAGCCATTAGATGGTAACAAGTTTTGATTGCTGCTGGTCTGCATTGGATTTGAACTGGTGACCTAGAGGTGAAAAGACTCTTTGATCAATTCACTGAGCCCTGCTTGTTTTGCTATAACTGATTGCCTAATTAACTGCAGACCTCTAAAGAATAGAGCAGAGGCTGGTGAGAGGAGGATGATAATTTTACCACCTTGACCGTCTGGCACAGGAGCTCCTATGTTGAAGTGGCTAGCACTGCTGAGGGGTATAACTCACTACTTGCCTAAATTCATGCTGTCAATTCCCTTTTCAGCTGTGAATGCTGGCACAGTGAATTTCTCAAGCAAAACCAATACACTTGCACAAAACAAACCTATTCCCTGATCCAGAAAGGAAGGTTCAACACCCTTACTCAGTGGCCAGGAGATACTTTAATATTCCCAGAGGTGAAGCTTAGGTTCATAGTTGGATTCAATGGTATGTAGATTCAGGGTGTGAAGAGTAAAAGTGTTTGAAAAGGAAGGTGTCTGTGATGAGGGAAGATAAAAGGAATTCTGATCTATGAGGAGCCAATTGTTGTTGTTGTTGTTCTCCTCCTGCTTTTGATGTGACTTAAGCTGAAGAGGGAAAAAAAAGTATGATCTGGAAAGTCTTTGTACACCAGAATTGGTTAGATCATCTTAACGAAGGCGACTGACTTCTTTAGACTAGCAAAGCGCGGGGGGGGGGGGGGGGGGGGGGGGGGGGAGGGGAAGAGTGTCACAGGAGGCCCTGTGTTGAAGCTGTCAATGTGGCCTTTTATGCCTTGTGCTTTCTGGGGGGCTTTTTGTATTCCTCAACTTACTAATGGGGCACTATTAACACTATTGAAAGGTTGAAGCTGTCCAATGACGAAATCAAACGGGCTATCTTGAAGATGGATGAACAAGAAGACTTGGCCAAAGATATGCTGGAGCAGGTGAGAAGAATCACAATTACTTCTTACAATGGTTGGTCTAAGGATAATGGGCCAGTTCCTCCTCTTGGAGCAGCTCATTGGGCCCATTTAAGACCTAGGATAAGTGGATGCAGCTCAGTCAACTTCACTGGAAATGCCTCCGCTTATAGTAGGTCTGAATTTGGCCCTGAGACATAATTGTACTCATGTAAAAGAGGAGAATTTTGCCCAGTGTGCCAAATGCATCCCTGGTGTAACTCCATTGATTTTGATGGAGTCACACTTGGAAGAGTTTGGTTCACTAAGTTTTTCTATTACATTATAACTTCAGTTTCCTGATCTAGAGAATGTGTGGTTATGATTTTTTATTAGTAATAGTTTTTCTTTCTCTTAATTTCTACTTTCCCTCTACTTCTGCTCTCCTATTCAACCCACTTCTCCTTTTTTTTGCTGGCTATTCTCCTTTACTTCATTTCTGGTTTAGTGATTAGAGCAGCAAACTGGAGACCTTGGGTCTATTACCAGTTCTGCTGTTGGTTCACTCTTTGCCTGAGTTTTCCCATCTGTGAAATGGGGGTAATGATGCTTACCCATATTTGGACAGTGCTTAGAGATCCTTGCATTAAAAAGTGCAAAGTCGTCAGCTTCTTATTCTTTATTATTCTGACCCCTCCATAGGAGATGGTCCCTTTTTATGCTCGACCTTAATGAAATTTACAAGCCTGTGCCCGGCTCCCCTGATGTGTCAGAGAGATTCAGCTGCTCTGCATCTCAATATCAGATTGTTGGTTTCTTTAGATAAAATATTAGAGCAATGATAAAAAGCAGATCCGCTGCTTGGTGTTTCTCGCAGGCAATTTGCTCCCCGTGACTGTGTGCCGGGGTGTGTGCATGACAATATTTATAACCAGATTGAAGCACGACTCCCACCAGATATGTCAAAAATCTGTCACAGTATGAGCTTTTAAGGTCAGCACATGAATAGCAGCCTGTGTCAGGCACATATACAGTGGCTTAGATATTGTTTATTGTTTCTGCAGAGCAGGGCAGGAGAGGAGAGAGATAGTTGGGGCTTTGTGTGGTACTGTAGGGTGAGTGGAATAGATAATCTCCACTTGGAGGGGCAGATTCTACTCACTTACATCAATGTAAATCTGCTGTGGGAGTGCAAGAAGTTCTTTCTAGATTTACACTGGTGTAACTAAGAGCAGAATTCAGTCACTTGAGGGAATCAGAGCTGCTCTTCCTCACAGTAGCACAACAATTCACTCTCTTGCACGCGGTCTCACTCTCCACCTGTGTGGGTGTATCTCTCTCTCTCTCTCTCTCTCTCTCTCTCTCTCTGGATCCCTCATGCTTGTTTTTGATTTGCCTCTGTGGTTCTAGCTGCTGAAGTTTGTTCCTGAGAAGAGCGATATCGACCTACTGGAGGAACATAAACACGAAATTGACCGCATGGCCCGGGCTGATCGATTCCTCTATGAAATGAGCAGGTCTGTGTAACATGCTGAGAAAATGCTCTGGGGGCTTCTTGGGAGCTGCTGTAATTGTGATAGAAAATGGATAATGTGACATTGATGGAAAACAATCAAGATATTGTGGGCCAGATTCTGCACTGAATTACACCTTGGGGCTCCCAGACATCCACAATGTGAAGACATTTCAAGTCATTATATAAGCATTTCTCGGTGGTAAGAACTCTCTCTGGGTGCCATTTAGGGGGAATCTCTGAATTGACCAGAACACGTTTGTTCCACCCATCCAACACTGTTCACGTACACAGATGTTCATATCTGGCTTTCAACTGCTGGATCTCCTAGTTGGGACTCATCACACACTCCTTTTCCATCTGTCTGTCACATTTTCCCCCGCCTCCCCCCGCTGGGATCTGTCCCTTTCCCTATCCCAACCTGACACCTCTCCTGGGTGGGACCCCTTTTCCATTTACCCCATTTGGAGTCTATTATAAAAATGCATCTTTCTGAAAGAGACTGGAAACTAACCATATCTCATGGGCAACTGGTAGAAGTACAAACCATGTGTCTTTATGCTATACTCCTCAGTCTGAGTATTAGTACCTGACACTGACCGACAGGCATTGGGAGCAATAGGCCTTTATATGCTGCAGGCTGCTTCAGTAATCCCACCTCTGGATCAGTTTTGTGTATAAAATGAACTGTGTCTGTGCTGAATCTGTGTTTGAGCGTTGCCTTCATAGGTACCCCGAGCTTCATGGTGTCCCTCTGCTTCCCCTTATGTAGGATTGATCACTACCAGCAGCGGCTGCAGGCGTTATTCTTTAAGAAGAAGTTCCCAGAGAGGCTGGCAGAATGCAAGCCTAAAGTGGAAGGTACGGCAAAGGCCTCTGCAGGGAGTCGGTGAGGGGCAGGGAATGTCTGAGAGATTTACCCACATGCCGTGTTTGTAGAGAGTCAGTCAGTACAAGGCAAGACCACCAGCTAACGTTGTCATTACATGCGAAGGTTCAATAAAGTTGTTACTGCAGAATGTGTCCTAACTGCTACCCTCTACCTTACCCTGTGCCATGGAGCCACCAACGCTGTGTGCCCTTTTTCTAAAGGCAGACTTTCTTCACAGCCCCAACCCATGTAATTCCCCATCAGATGTGGCTGTAACAGCAGATACACACAGTCCCTGGTGCTCTTCTGTAAATGTGCCCTTTTTGAGGAGGGTAAGATAGGATTCATTCAGGTATTTAAACTGCTCCTAGGCCCCCTCCTTGGATATTACAGTGAGCACGTGAGCATGTTCCATTCAGCATTTTCAAATGACATTGCCCTGGTTGAGGCCGTGATCGACCCCAGGATTGGACGCTTTGAGACTGGGGATCCCTGGGGCTGTGCTTTGGAATGCTTAGAATCAGAGGATAAATGCCTTCAGAAAAGCTGCTGTGATGTAACCTTGGGTCATCTTTTACTTCTTTTCAAGCCATTCTTCTGGCCTCCAAAGAGCTCACCCGCAGCAAGCGCTTGAAGCAGCTCTTGGAGGTAGTCCTGGCTTTTGGCAATTACATGAACAAGGGCCAAAGGGGAAGTGCGTATGGCTTCAAAGTCTCCAGCCTGAACAAAATTGCAGACACTAAATCCAGCATAGACAGGTAGGCTTGAAAGTCCCCAAGCAAATGAAAGCTACCATGCTGCATCTTGCTTCCTGCGGTGACATACTGTAGAGAATTTCAAATGATGTCTTACCTTTACATTTCAATGGTGCTTTCACTCTGCAGGAACCTGAAGTGCTTTAGAAGCAATTAATACAGCACTGCAATTTAGTCACATCTTGGGTGGAACTCGTCAGCTGATTAACTGCATACAGCAACGCTACCTGTATTTAATATCCTTTCTTTTGCAAAAAGAGACATGGAATCTTTAGCAGCCACAAGAAGCCAGGGCCACAATTTTTACTTCTCATCCAAAACGCAGTGCTTGGGGTGGCTTCCCTCTCTTTCCCCCCCGCTCCCTCCCCCGCTAGCCGGGGCACGCACTCCACTGCCCGGGGCACGTCTGCAGCACAGGGAGTCCCCCTGCACCCTGGCTCCAGCCGCCCTGCACAGTTTTTTTGTTTTTGTTTTTTTGCTTCGCCACTCTGGCCGCCCTGCAGGTTTGTTTGTTTTTTTGTTTGTCTTGGGGCGGCAAAAAAGCCAGAGCCGGCCCTGATTCCGGAGCATAGGTTCTGTACTGACTCAGAGGAAAGAGTGCCACCTACTGAATCAGTGATACCCTGCAGCACTTTAGGTTCTCCTTGGATGTCTCCCACGCCGGTATTTACTAGGCCGTACCCCTCCTCCCCCACCCCTTTGCCGGGATCTAATGAGACAACAGTTTCAGGGGGAATGGCTTCAGGCTGTCACAGAATGAGTAACTGCCATAAGAAGTCACTTGGAATTAATCCCTATCTTAAAGACATTAAACCAATAAACCTGAACTTTGTTTTAACTAATGCCATGTGCTTCCTGTATACACATTCTGAGGTTACTCATCCCCTATGTAGCTACTGCCTAGACAGTTTTTTCCTTTGGCCTGAATGAGCCTGAGTGTCCATATCTGGAATGTCCTCTGCAGATCCTATGGCATCCCTAAGTCCCAGCTCCCTTTAGTTCTTGGAAGGAATGATTCTTGGGAGAATAGTCTCTTTTAATTGGTGATATTTTCATTTCATTAACAGAGTTGCTGATTCATTATGTGAAGTTCACCTCATTTGACGTACCAGATTCCATCGCCAAACCCTTTGCAATGGCTGGCATTACCCCCACCATCTTTCCTTTCTCATCTGTGTCCTTTTTATTTTAGGAATATTACCCTGTTGCACTACTTAATTATGATCTTTGAGAAGAACTACACAGATATCCTAGACATGCAGTCTGAGCTGCAGCATCTTCCGGAAGCAGCAAAAGTCAAGTAAGTCCAATGCTACTGTCAGTCTTGCATCTTGATTCAAAGTCCGTTGAAGTTAAAGGAAAAATGTCCATTGACTTCAGTGGGCTTTCAATCAGGCATTTAGTTGCTTATAGATTTGCTCTGCTGCTGTATTCCCAAGTAAGGACTAGCTCCTCAGCTGGTGTTAATTGCCTTGGTTCCATTGACAGCCATGCTGACTTACACCAGCTGAGGATCTGCCTAGTCATTTGTGAAATCATTGAGAGTTTTATGCAAACATGTCCTGCTTGATACTCCTGAACTAGTCACCATAACTAGACTGTTTGTTTGTAATTCACTACCTGTGCTGTGTGATTGGTAACCTACATTATATAATGTTCCATGCTGGATATTTGGAGGTTGTTTAAAAAAAACATAAAAAACAAAACAAAACCCAGCAAATAAGTCCCGGGCTGTTTAAGCCATTTTCAAGATGGTCATGCAAACCTTTGTACAGACACACTTTTGCACAAGGGTTTGGGACACTTTCACTTTTCACTAAAGTTTTTGTTATAAACAAAAAAGTTCCTGTGGATATTTGTGGAAAGCGAATAAAAAGGTTTCAACTACCTTCAAAACTATTTTGGAGTTTTTCCAAAGCACTGTTCCAGAATACCTGTGTGCAGTATTTGCCCAGCCATTGTTCCTTGTATGAAGAGCTGGCTTGGTCTGATACTTCTACAGCCTGTGAAAAGCTAGGGAAAAATGAACGCAGGTTATAAAGAGAGAAGTTCTGTGCTCCAAGCTCTCACATAGACATAACTTAGCACCAGTACTGTGTTTTCAAATGTGGACACTTCTTCACTAAGGAATTGGTTGAGAGTTTGAGAAACAATTTTTCACTCACTAGTAACCTGCAACCAATTTCTAGCCAGTGATCTAGAGGTGACAGACTTCATCTCCTAGTGGTAATGAAAAGTACTCTGACTTTTGTATGCTAAGGAGATATCCAGTACAACACTACAGTTTAGGAGTTTGTCTGTTAGTGATCTTTAGGGTAAGATTGTGCTAACCTACGATGTTAGCTCCTATGGGCTCCTATGTGATGAAATAGTCAACAACAGTATTTAGATAGTGCATGATAAAAGGATAGGTTAGTAATAAGTTTGTCCCTAATGGGATTCTGTAGTTAAGTGGGGGAGAAAATGGGTGTGAAACTGATTTGAGACCATTGTGATGTGTGTGCTGAAGTTGAGTTCTCTGCCTGTGAATCAGGCAATCATTACAAACCAGCCCTGTGGCTAGTACTCCATGCTAGAGCGCTGGGTTGAGTTCACGGGCCGGTATCTTGCATCCTGTGACAGATGTTCTGAGTTTAAACCTTTTTCTCCTCTCCATAAATACCATGGGATCTTTAATCTGACCACAAGCAGTTAGGACCTGGGTTTTACATCACATACAAAAGGCAACACAGAGCCTTTCCCCCAGTCCCCAGCATCTGGCATGACTGGTGCCAGAGGCAGGATCCCAGACTTGATGGACCAGTGGTCTGTTCTGCTATAGCAGTTCCTGTATTCCTGTGTAACACTGCTCTTTTTGTTTTAACTGCTGCGTCTCTATGTCTCCCTTGCAGCCTGATGGAGCTGGAGAAGGAAGTTAACAACATAAAGACTGGATTGAAAGCCGTTGAGGTTGTAAGTATGTCAAGATTTCCAAATCTCCACACTAAAAATGTTCCACTTGGGATCTGAGGCACTATATTTTCTACGAGAGAAGAAGGGGGCTTTTCTTTTCTCATTAAGCACAATGTGTTCGCCGGGAAAAATAAATAAAAGCTGGTCCTGCTAAGCTTCTGCTGATGATCCTAGCAGACTTTGGCCTTAACAAAACGCTCGTTTGATCTTGGTCCGCAGAGCGAGACACAGTTTGACAAATGGCGTAGACACCAAAAAATGAAATAAACGTCTCTTTGCTTTGTGCGGAGGAATCACTGGTTGCTTAGCAGGTGTCTCACATGTCCCCCTGGGGCAGGAGTAAACAGGTGGGGAATACACTACACGTTCGGCAATTATAACCTGCCCCATCTGCCAGCAACACAAGCAGCTGCCTGGCTGAGAGAAGAAAGACATGGACTAGATAAAGGGGACCCAGGATGAAACATTACACAAAGAAGCTGTAAGACAACATGCAATGGTATTTCTTCCCACTGCTGCTGAAAGTCCCCAAAGCTGGACTTCTGCTACCTTTGTTTCCTCAGCTGTTGGTTAACTTTTGCAGAGCACTCTTGCAAAACAGATGAATGCATGGTGTTGTATTTGGATGAAACAGCCCTCTGACCCAAGGTATTACATCATAGGCGCTAAAGCTGAGGCATTGGTGTAAGTGATCCCTGGGTTCAGCTTTTTATGTCAGCACATGGGTCCTCCACCTAGAAATCTCCAAAAAAAATAAACAATACCTACCCACCATGAGGGCGTTTGCAGAATGAGTAGAATTCAGGAGGCAGCTAACAAGTGGTATTCATTGAGGTGGCATATTTATTAAGGAAGGGGGAGGGAAGGATAAGGAGTTTGGGATTTGGAGGTTCGACAGAGTATACAGCAAAAAGAAATAAAGGAATAATTCAACAGCAAACCCAAATTACATAGTTGCAAATAACTCTCCATCAACAAGGGTTACTTTGTAAGGAAATCAATGTGATTTAACATGAGCATCTTCAAATTCCTTATGGAGAAACCTGAGAGAAAGGTCATCTCTTTCATTTCAACTTGTAGAATTCTGTAGGCCGGTTCAGAAAACCTGTGTAAAGAATCCCATTCTCTATTCATTTCTGTAGGTTTGTAGAGTAATTTCTATAGAACCCAGTTTCTTTCATCAAAGCTAGCTCTGGTATGTCTGCAATCACACCTCCCTATTGCAGTGTAGACATACCCTCTGTCATCCTGAGGCAGCATGGTGTAGTGGGAGGCGGTGTGGTCCATTGGACTGAGTTTAGGGCTTGGAGCCAGGAACTCCTGTTTTTTAATCTTGGCTCTGCCACTGACTTTCTGTGTGGCCTTCAACAAGTCACTTAACTTCTCTACCTCCCATCTGTGAAATGAGGATTATAACTCTTACCTACCACAGGGTGTTCGGAGGGTTAGCTAGCTAATGTTTGCATAGAGCTTTGAAAATGTAAAGTCCTATGTAAGTGCCAAGTCTTACTGTTGTTATATCCTCTCTTGCCTAAGTTCATCTAACAGCTGCATGGCTGCATATTCCCCCTTCCTTCTCCCTGGATTTGCAAGCCATGAATCCTACACTGACTGTGTCCTCTGCTGACTGTGGGACACGAGGGCAATCATGACATTAAATAGAGGTAAAAGACAGCATTTGAGATGTTTGAAACACAATGAGACCCTTGCTCTGTTTAGCTATCAGTGACCTTTTCAGTCCTGGTTATCAGTGTAAGGCTGGTTGGCACTAACTTCCCACCCTTTTGGTGCTGTTATCTTTAGGATAAGGCGCTTGGCTTTGTTTTAAAATATGTCAATGAAATGCTAGTGGAAGGTGCCAGACTGGGATCCTGGAGACCTAATGGAGCCACTCAACTGGTGCAATAACCAGCCATAGAAGTGCAAGCTTCCCCCGCATGACCCTGCCAGTGTGCCTTCACCCTAGCCTGTAGAGACCCTCTCTCTCTAGTCATGAGAGCAGAGCTCAGTCTCCATTGCCAATTCATTTTTTGGTCTCTGACTTGAGATTGCCAACAAAGGGGCCAACTGGTGGCAAGCGTGATGTCTGTGATTCAGACACCTCTCTGGTAGGAACTTGAATGAGACCCACCTCTTATTTCTTATACATCATCAAACAGCCTGCAGAGGGTAATGACTTTTAGCCTCTTTTTCACCTGGGCTGGATTTGAACTGGAGATCAGGGAGGAGGAGGAGGGCTCTGTGTCCTATTACTGGTCCCCAGAGCCATCGTACTAACTTCAGTGAGTCGTCATCAGTTCCTCCTGGATTAAAAGCTTCAGACCCAGTGTGGATTATTGGGTCAGGAGGAAGCACTAGTAACAGAGGCTGCTGCTATGGGTGGGTGTTCGGAGGTCAGAAGCACCCATAAAAGGAACACTGACATGGGATTCATGGTTTGAAGGGAGCCCCGCTTATGGCTGACTTAGGCAATTCCCTCCTTGAAATGCAGGCACCTACTTCGTTTGGTTTTCTATTTGTGGGTTGTTTGCCCCATTGTCCTTCCATCCGCTTCTCCTCTGCTTTCTCATATGTGGACTTCTGGGGCAAAATCTCCTTCCCATTCAGTCACCATTGCCCCCCCCCACCCCTTGCGTGATGCTTTCAGTCTGGGCTGCCTGCACCTTCCAGTCTCACTCCTTTCACATTTTTTGGCACTTAAAATGCAACACTAAAGCAACAATAGAAGATCATTGTCAGGTGTGGGGGAGAACGTGCAACTTTTGATCAACTTCCAAAGTGTTCTCACCACAATCCTGGCTCCACTGGTTGAGAAGATTCTTCAAGGCCCCATAAGAATAGAAGACTAAAAATAGTTTTGCAGTCAGCTGCTCTTAAAGGTACTTGTAACCCTTCGCTTCCCCAGGTTTGTGGTGTGATTTAAAAATGGAACACAGCCCTTTATTGTTCAGTCCAGCTTTTGGAAATCACACATCGGAAATCACACATCCAGCCACTGCGTATCATGCAGGATACATTGGAGATTAAATTTTTAAGCTTCAATTGGCATTTCTGAGCCTCCATCAATAAGCAGCCATGGTGCTGAAAAGGTGCCCAAGGGAGGTGGTATGCATATGCAAACTCTTGTGCTGAAGACTGGGGATTGGTTTCCATTCAGTTGAAGTGGTGGCTCAGCCATCAGAAGGAGAGCTTTCATGTCTAAGCACGTACATTTTGATCAAATACTCCATCATTAAAAGTTTTTCTTCTGACTATGAAACCAGTACCCCAGCTATATGGGAAATGCTTCCCTGCTTCTGACACTGAGTTCCCCTCCCCTTGCTATTGGTGACACAGGAGATAGCTGGATTGATCACATCCTTTATCTATCCATCCAAGAAACATATATGGCCCCCATCACTGTAATGCCTGACCACCTCACGATCTTTAATGTATTTATCTTCTCAACACCCCTGGGAGGCAAGGAAGTGCTATTAGCCCCATTTTACAGCTGGGGAACTAAGGCACAGAGAGGCTAAGTGACTTGCTCAAGGTCACACAGGGGAAGTCTATGGCAGAGCAGGGACTTAAATGAGAGTCTCCCAAGTCCTAGGCTAGTGCTCTAACCAGTGGCTCAGCAAATTTCCCTGATGATCATTCTTTTGAGCAGATTTTTTAAACAAAATCCTTCACCTCTGATGATAGAAATACTGCAGTATCCCAGAGTAAAAGCCCAAATCCTGGCACCTCGGTTGTGTTTTGTAAAACTTTTAAAAATAAGACCAAGGCAAACACCTAAGACTGTATTTACTCTACCACATGGCCAGACAACTCCGTGTCTGAACACTAACAAGGCTTTGCTCTTCTATAACATCTTTAATACAAAGATCTCAAAGTATTTTGCAAATATTAATTGGGGACAAATGCTGGCAAGCCTCAAAATGCCCCTGTGAGCTAGGGGCAATGCAGCCCTTCCTCGCTGCTGTAGAACCAGTGTGGTTCAGCAGCTCTCTGGAAGACACTTTCTGCCATCAGCCCAGCTCCAGAACAGGGCAGCTTCCTGAAAGGCTTTCCCTGTGATTCACAATACCACTGCACTATTAAATAAACCAGCATTTACTTGTAGTTACCACACCGTGTTATCTGAGTTCCAGTTATTTCCCATTCTAAGTATAAGGAAAACCCTAGTGTCTCAGCTACGTGGCACTTAGTACTAAAGGTGTCTTAGAAATACAATAAATTAGATGGATAGTAAGGAACTCTTTTGTTACTATTGCAGGATCCAGGAGACGACAAGTAAGATTTGCCTCCATCTTATGGAGATTCTGCCTTTGAGTAGGTGAAAGCAGAGGTTGGGGGTGGTTCTGAACTGTAGCTGCTGATGGGTATATTGGAGGAGAGATTGTGCTCTGTGTTAACCAGAACAACTGGACTTACCCAGCCCCATTCTTCTCACTGAGGAGCCATTGCTGGCTGCCACTCAACGCTTCTGACTTCTTCTCTTCCAGGAACTGGACTACCAGAAGAGACGCATGCGGGAAGCAGGGGACAGGTTTGTGCCTGTCATGAGTGACTTCATCACTGTGGCCAGTTTCAGCTTCTCAGAGCTAGACGACCTTCTGAACGAGGCTAGGGACAAGGTAGGAAAGCTCCTGAAAGTGCTTGACTGGAACCTGCACCTTTCAGCCAGCAGCTTTCAGATCCACCTTCTGTGGCTCATTACTGACTCTGACAGCTAGGAAGCTCATTTCTTCTGCTTCCTTAGGATCCCAATGAGTGGGCTAAGTGAGAGCAAGGGGCAAACTGTGTACCCCGTATTTCTCTGTGTAAGAGGAGGGAGGGAAACCCCCTAACCAGCAGACACAGCTACGTCTTTCCTTCCCGCATGTCATGCATCTTTTTCCCCAGTGAAAAGTACCAGAATGGCAGCCCTGGGGACTGAAGTCCTCTACTCCCTAGAGGTGGGCCATGGTGGTAGCACTCAGGCATGGGTTAAGTCTAGGCTAGGCCTCAGGTTCCTGGTTGAATCTGGGGCAGAATCTGAACCTTGCAAGCAGCTCTTGAGAGATTTTGGCCATCTTTGGTCAGTATCTCCTGGAGAACAGAAACCTGTCTCTGGAGCCAAAATGGAAGCAGCTGATTAAGGTGCTGGGACCCTAATGAGGGCAGGGTGAGGCAGGAGGCAACATCCTGACATTCAAAGAGTTTCAGATTAAAGGCGGTGATTTTGGTCTATCTATCCCATTTACTGAACAGATACAACCCAGATCCCCTCCTAGGTTCTGCCCATTGAATCTTTTTCTTCTCTAGAGCTTATTGATGAGGATGGTGTGTATGGGGGAAAATGGCAATGGTGGTTTTTGTGACATGGTGTTAGGAAATACTGTTATTGGGAGTGCTGTCTTTTGGGTGAGAGATCAGAAGCACAATCTCTCTTGGTTCTTAAAGATCCCACAGCATGTTTTTCAAGAATAGGGTTGTTAGATCTGGTCTCCTGGCAAAACTTAGCTAAATTCTGCTGATGTAACGGCGGGAGATATATACATCTGCAAAAAACGTTGGGATCCTTCACATTGAAAAGGACCATAAATGTATCAATATTCAGTTATTATTGTCATCAGCTCGCATTTGCTTCTTTGAAAAAATCTAGTAAGGGAAGTGTAGACCTCGGAAGAGGTGCCAGCTCTTTGCTGATGACTAGAAGCTGGCATTAATCCCTCCGTCTTCTGGTTGAATGGGAAAGAACATGTATGAAAAGCTCATAAGGATATCAAAATATTTAAAAGAGAACAAGTCCTAAAATAAACAGCATGTAATGGCAAAGCTGTCCTGGTTGGCTGGTATGTTAAAAGCAGTTGGCTGTCCAAAGCGAACAAGTTATTTCCTTTGGACCAGTTCGTTTCCATTGCTGGTGTCAGTAGCTTGCAGTGAGAGATGTGAGGGGACAAGCTGAACTGTGAATAAAATACCAGTAATTGGGTTGCCAGGCCTCCTGGTTTTCAGAAGACAAGCATGATGCTGGAGGAGGATCAGGACAATACAGTGTCCTGTCACCATGCTGTGCCATCGCTCTGACATAACATTTCATCGCAATGGGGATGACTTGGCTTTTCAAAGTTGCAGCGTTTGCCTCACAGCACACACCACAGAAATCACAACAAGAGCTGGTTGGTTGTTATGGCAAAAATTGAACAAAAGTCCTCATTTGGCTCTGATAGCAAGGGAAGGGTGGCTTATGTTCCAGAACCTCCACTTCTGTTGTAATATGGCTTCCCTAAGAGAACTCCCATTCTGTGGGGTATTTTGGACCTCTGGCTTTTATTCTTGTCTGGGATCAAAAAACTGCAGAGGTACAAAAAAGTGAAGAAAAGAGTGGCTGGGGGAAAGGCAAGAGGTAAGCAGACATTTTAACCAGCAAGAAGACTCTGGTTCAGTTCAGTATAAATTTTGAGTATGAGTTTGGGGTTGGTTCCTACAGTATCCAAACCATTTTACCTATCATTATAAAAATGTCCTTTGTCCTCCCCCTCTTATACCTGCTGTAGCACAGAAGAGGTACATTCAGTTGACATGCACTGACTGGCACAAGGCGGTTTATCTTGGGGTCAATAATGGGTTAAACACATAAAATCATTCACTCTGAGGCACCGATACATTTCCTTGATCAGGCCAGGGCAGGAAAAAGGGGATCCTGTTGCTTTAAGGATAATTGGAGTGTCTCCCCGCAGCCGGACCAATATGTCTGGAACTTGTTGCACACGTTTTTTGACATTTGCCAACATAAAGCATTTAACAAGAGAAGTTTTATTTTAATGACTATAACATACTTAGGAAACCTCTCCCCCATTCCCTATTACCTTCTCCTAACACACTCCTACTATTCTTGAAAATATGCCTTTCCAGCTTCTGCTGAATCTAGAGCTTTGGTTCTCCCACTGGCATTGAGCTGCCTTGGACTCCTGAAAGAGAACTCTCTGTCCTTACCAGTACAGTGCTATTTCTCATGTTCGCTTCTCCCCCCCCCCCCCGCTCCTTTTTCAAAACGGGAAATTCTCAACAAACCAGATGTACTTCCCAGAGCCCATAACAGCTCCCATGCTCAATGGGCTCTCTGTGTTTGCTGAATCGTGAGCTCTGTCCCTGCCATGGAAACTGCTGCTACAACTGCCCAGCAAAAGTAGGACACAACACACAGAGATCTCACTATCCTGTTCCTTTTGATTTCTAGAAATGAAATGGGGAGTGGGGGGAAAGACTTGAAAAAAAAATCCTAATGAGCCCTGGAAGAAATGGTCTGGCTCACTGATTTTAATAATGAAGTCCTGGTTTTAACAGCTGGGATTGAATATCGTTCTAAATATAGTACTGGCTAATTGATTGCCAGGCGTTAGGCAGAGCCATCTTTCCTGAGCTTGGATTTAAAACAATACAAAGTATCTTTTCAAACCTGAGAAGTGATTTTTAGGTGTCTTTAGTGCTGGCAAAATGTGCTCTGTATTTATTGAGATTTATATAAGAAATCCACTCCAAAAGAGCCCTACAAACCTTTTCTCCTCTCTGCTTCTCTAATATACATTGATAAGAGACAACTCCAGTAGACAAATCAGCAGAGGGTCAACCAGCTGATCCAGTAGTAAAAGCTCCTACTGAAGTCTTCCCATTTCCTCACTGCTAAGGGATGCAAAGGGCCTTACAGCCTGGCCTGGCTTGGAGGGCAATCGACTCAAGCTATGTGGGACTAAAGGTATGGAACGAGTTCCAAAGCTGAAGGTCCTTTGTGGAGAACATCCTGCCCGCCGCCTTCACTCTCTTACAGCAATGGGGCTGCCGCTCAATACTTCCACTGAACCCAGCATGGAATGGAAGGAGAGGGAGAGGCAGTCTCTCAGATAGATCCTAGGCCAAACTAACACCTTAAATTTTACCCGTAACATAGAAGATAGCTGACCAGAGCTGTCTATTTACCCATGGAGCGGGTATAACACAGGTAGTGCAGCTTCCCCCCCTCCTCCCACAGCCCCACCAGTGCACCTCAGAGCCACCACATCTCGTGTTGGGAGGGGGAGTTCAGTCTCACACGGCCCATGCAGTTTTTGGCTTCTTTGCTTAGACAGATGACGACAGGACCAGTTGATGCCAATTATCCCAGTGAAGAAGTGATGTTTTAAATTTAAGGGCCAGATTCTCAGACGCTGGCGTCTCACTTTGCAAGTGAAATGCTGTAACCACTATCATCTGTGCATGCACAAAACAGATGCTCGGTTAAGATCAAGCTGAAAAATTTACACCAACTCTCTTAATAGGTTCACTCAGAGCGCAGGGCACTGTTCTGCTGCTGGCTTTTTCACCTTCAGTGCAATGTAATACCTGTGAGGGGCTGGGTTTTTTAGGAGAATTCACAGATTTGATCAAGGGATTATATTTTCTGCCATTTCCCGTGTTGTGGAGGGGGAGGGATTGAGAGAAATTCTATCCTGAAACTTATCACCAATTTTCACAAGTTTGATCCAGATGAAAAATTGCTTTCTTCATAGGAGAAACAGGATGAGAGTGAATGTCACCTGAGAAAACTGCCCTTCTTGGTTTTGTGGGAAAACAGTGCAAACGCTGAGGCCAAATCAATGTAATTTTTTTCACACGTTCTTCCCATGGTGTAAATTTTATTTTTCTACTTGCTAGGGATGACATTTACCCCATAAGGCCTCTGTTCCACTAAAGTCCCACATAAGCGCTGACAATACACAGAAGTGAAGCAATCGCATTGTATCTGTTCTCTGCACATGGGTGAACTTCACCCTGTGTGTATAGTTTATAATAAATCTGTTTGTAAAACACTTTGGATCATTCTGGAAGAAAGACACTATGTATATTTCAGACATGATCACTACCATAGTGATTAGAATTCACAAGCTGGGTCTACAGCACAGAAGCTGGAATAGATATAAAATCAACAGCAAGCATCCTGCTGCCTACAGTTGCCCAGTACAGGGGCATAATAAAGACAAAGAAATAACCTTGGCAAGGTTAAGCTGAAAGGGAGGTGGGCGCCTGTCCATTCTCAGTCTTTTTTTATGACTTGACTATGAAATGATACCTCAAGCAGGGGACTAATATTGAGCATCATTGAGATGGGAGGTCAAAGTCTACACAGCCACTGGATGCCAGTAAATTTGACAAACATAGTAGCGCTGTTCTGAAGAGCAGCAGAGGAAAGTGAAAATCCAGCTAAGATAATAGCCATTAATGGCAGAGAGCTACAAGGCACACAGGGATACTTTAGTCCAAGCGGCAAAGACAGAATGTCCATTTCAAACACAAAAGTTGGCCTCCCTCGGTCTTTTGGAACTGGTTACTTCTGTCAGCTGCTGAGACTAATGGACTACTGGGGGAGTCAAGCTGGGGCACATTCGAAGAGGCATGGACAGATACCAAAGCTCGCCCTCTCAAACAGAGCCATTTGGTAAATAAATTACCTACCCGACCTACACTAAATTAGAAATGCAGAAGGCCCAGGACAAGTTATCGAATGTGTCAGACATGCTCATGGTGTCTATATTGCATGAGCAGGGTTGCTATTGGCTACTATGGAGCTAGCTCAAATATCCTTTATGATCAATAGGTTTCAAGGCGACGTAGGGTC